CAACAGTGAAGAATTCCAACAATATGGGAAAATAGTAATGCTACCGTGTGTGGAAAGATCATCTATGAGCTATGCTAATGATCTCTGAAAATGGCAAAATATTATTTTATTTGCTTAGGAAAGATAGTTTCATGTGAGAAGCGTCTTAGGAGTTTGCTAGAATGGGAGCGTTTTAATCATCACCAAGTGGGAGTCTGGCCTGGAAAATCAAGCCTGTCTTTTGGTGTGGCTTAGGGCTGTTTCTGTTGGGCTGTGGCTTCCGTGTCCAGCATCAGCTCCTCACCAGTGCCTCTGCCTCCCATTCTCAGGGATGTTACACCACATGTTCATATGTCTTCCTGTCTTTCTTGTGTCCATCTGAAATGCTGAAATGGTTTTGTAAAACTGATCCATTTATAAGCACCCTCTTCATGGATTTTCTTATTTATTGCTGGTTTCCCCTAATTACCTAGTAAAATCCCAGTGACAGGCCAATGATCTAGCAGTTACCAAGACCTTGGTACATTTTCTCAGTGAAAAGCATGTGAACAATGAATATTAGTTATGTCTGCCATTGAGTGACCCATGCTCGCTCCCCTACAGTGTAAGATCAGGTGATGTAAATAGGAAACAGAAAGGCACATTCTACTTGGAGGACCTGGAGCGATGAGGCATCAGCCTGACAGGACTGAGCTGTATCATCAAAGTTCCGGTCCACTGGTGCCACGTCAGGGTGGAGTCTGAGACTGAAGATCAGGGCTTTGTCTATGGCAAGGACTGACTGAGATGCTTAGTCTTACATTTCTCTCTCTGTGTGCCAGTGGAAAATGTTATATATCAAAATATTGTCATTAATTTCTCAACTCCTATTGCTTGTTATTGTCTACCCCTTATCACTATTCAAGAGCTCAGTTTTACATTAATTGGTTCTGCCTTTGGTTTTCTTGTTTCTTTGACACAGGAGTTCACAGGCCTGGTTCTTCTGTTCCATGGTGGATTCCATCTGATCTCCATTATTCTCTTGGAATTTGTGTTTTAGTCTAAAAGGGAGTGGCTTTTGGAAGCATCCCAGAACCTTTGACCTACAATTTACAGCATTTATTTAATGACACAAAAGAAAACAAACAAAAGAACATTTTATCATCCCTGGAGACTTTCCCCATTAACACCTAATTTTAGATGCCTCCGTTCCTGCTGTTAGAGGTCTAGGAAGCTGGCGATTCCAACAGTGCTGCAGAAGGAGGCCACGGGAATGTATGAGACCCGTGTTCTGTTTTTTATATTCTCCTTTTTAACCTTTCCCTCAAAAATTTAATCACTGGGAGAGGAAATAAGCACTGATTGTCCCCATGGTACAATGAAAGCGATATCCTCCTCCATTTCCCCATGATAGCCAGGCTCCAGATGGCTGCATTTCTGTGAGACTCCCATCAGGGTGGGGAAATAAGAACAGCATGACAAATATTTTCACCAGGCAGAGGACAGTGCTTCCAAATGGAGCTGAAGGGCCAAACACAACCCTAAGATTTCTGGATGATTTCTAGAACTCACAAGTAAACCTTGGAGTAAAATACCTGAAACTGAATATGAAAGGAAGACACATGACAAGCAGGCATAAGACTTATGAAGGTATCAGAATTTGGGATAATTTTGTACTTCAGAAAATTTCTGAACAACTATGAAGACATAAAATTAGAAAGTGAAGTAAATACAATTAAAAATCCACGGCTTTGTTTAAGTTTTTTAGTGCATCATATAAAAACAACAACAAAAAGAAGCTCTGTGAACAATTTCAAGAATTTTGCCTAGTTTTTGTTGTTAAAAATTTTTATAAAGGGCTGGAAACTTAGCTCAGTGTTGCTGCTGCCTTGCCTCACAAGCACAAGGTCCCAAGTTTGATCCCCAGTACCAAAACAAAAAAACAACAACAAAAAATTTTTTTAACTATAAAAGATTTATTTTTACATCCTAATTTTATATATCTAGGCAACTATTTGCTCAATACACTGTTCACACTTAATGGTTCTACATTTTATTGAGATCAAGATTAAAAACATATTGTCCTTCCTTAACTTAGAGGGCAAATTATAAATCTAAGAGAAGAAAATTCTGTTGTTCAGTGATCTTACTATTTTGAAGAGCAATTGAATCTCTTTCTCTCTGTGTCTGTCTCTCTCTCTCTATGAAAAAATCTAGACAAATTTGTGTCAAAACATACTGCAGTTCAATATGAGTTTTAGTGAGAATATAATTATTTGATTTGTTAATTAAGCTATTTTCTTTCTATACAAATATTTTTTTGGCAGCTACATTCTTTTTCCAGACAGTTCGAGCAATCAGATCACTATTTAAGAAACTTTATTTCCCCACAGTGTAAAATAAACAGGTGATATTTTAAGCAGTAACTATTCTTGTTTACGGAGTTCCTCTTCCACATTAGGTGCGGTGGTAAGGACTGCATATTCTGCTCTTCAGCTTAGGTCCTTGTGTAATTGTTGTATGAAATAGAGCTGGTGGATGAAGCACTTTGAATGTTCTGGGGATGTAATAATCTCCCTTTGCTTTCAATATTACTTACTATGATGTCTAATATAATACATGAATACATTACTTAGAATTGTTCCATGGGGCAGTTAATTTTTAACATGTAAATGTGGAAGAACTTAAAGTTTAGAAATTCCAATAGCATTTGCTCAATTTACAAAGTAAGTAGAGGAGCCAGACTTGGAATTCATACTTCCCCAGCCCCAAAACATGTTTGTAGCCTGCTGCGCTGTTCCTCTCCTTCCCCACCCGATGTGGCCTCCCCATGCACTCAACACACTTGTGGTGTGAGGGAGGCGTGCACCCCACACCCCTGCTGGCTACCTGGCTCCTGCTCAGGGTAGCAGCCCGCCTGCAACGCGCTCCACATCCCCTTTTGTGTGTCTCACATGCTGCTCCTCTTTCGAAACCCCATTTGTGTTTTAGGTTTCTTGTTTTCTGTTTCTCTGGCTCCATCCTCCCTCCTGCTCCACCTTCCTTCTCCAAGCTAAGAGGAGAAAGTTACTCTAATTGAAAGTAAAACCATCCAGTCCCTCTTGGAGAAAAACAGCTTTTCTCTCAGAACGTTTCTCCCAGTGGTCAGGTTTCAGTCAGTCTGCAGCCCTTCCTTAATTTTTCTTTCCTGTTTTGAGGACAGTTAGCAATGCCTTCAGTCCCTGTAGAGGACTAGGACAGGCTTCCCCAAGCTTCCGTCCAAACTGAGGGAGAGGAGATGGGACACCGGGGCAATTCTGGTCTCGGTGCTGGAGCTCAAGCCTGGGCCCCAGGGTGGTCGGTGACCACAGAGGGGAGGGAGAGAGATTCCGCCACAGGACGCTGCACAGAAAGCAGGTTGGCTTTTTCCCGGGTGCACCACGTGGGCTTCAGAAAAGCAACACTAGGCAGAAAGCAGTGATTTGTCAGTAAAAGTCCACAAATCAGAGAGAAATGTTTGAGAAAACCTCCTGAGTATTGATTTTCCTCACAGATGTTATAGATATACCTACCTGCCTAGGGCGAAGACCTTGCTGTCTCTGCAATGAACAATCAGCAAAATAAGTGATTACTGGAATGCAAGTCAAGGGGAAAAGTCACCCTGACACTTCCTGTCCCTCTCTGGGAATCTAGGCAGGCTTCCTCCCACTTCCTGCTCTTTCAGCAGTGGCCTCCTTCCTGGTGGCCTTGGAGAGCTTTTCCTGATATGTTTCTGAGCAACAGTGAATGAGTAAGACTTTCACTCTGAGCCACTGTGGACATGGAGGCTATCACTGGAGACCGAGGCTACTATGTCAGTATTACACAGTGTGCTGCACCAAAATGAATTCTGTGAATAATCTCCTGCTTAGCTTTGCCTGGCCAACTACCAGGGCACGTGTCGTAAGAGGGCTAGTGACTAATGCAGTCCCAGCTAATGCAGTAGTGTCCGCTTTCGCTACTCTTAATAACTCTGGTCCCTAAATCCTTCAGTGAATTCATCAGGACACACTGGCTTGGCATGGCTAACGTGGGGCTCATTGAAGGAATCTAAATTATTCACTCAGGATGCCTAAGTTTAAGTTTATACTTATTTTGAAATTAGACTTTTAGAAAATCTAGAAATACCTTCCAATAATACCAAAAAACTGCTATGGAAGTTCTAGTTCAATATTTTGTCACCCTTCACTCCAGCATAACTTTTATTTGTGGACTAAACATATTCTTATACACTTGGTAATTCATCGAAATTCCCCGTTTCTCAGGAAATTTCCACATCTTCAATAAACACTTTTTATTTTTCTCCATTTATCAAATGTTATGACTTAAACTCTCCTCCTGTGCCCCAGATTCCTAGGAGATGCACATTTTTAAACACGTGTTCTGCTTGGCCATGGACTTTGGTGATAAATGAAAGGGTTGGTTTCACTTAGCTGAAAACTCACATTCAAGTCTCAAGAGATGCACCCCGTGTATTAAAACCACAGTGCTAAGAAACGATGCTAACTGCCAACATTTTTTCAAATCCCTAGAAAATTATCAATAATTCCTCGGAAATTTCATTTCACATTCTAAATATCTCACTCCTTTTACTGTTGAAAATTATTTCCTTAGGGTGTTTTATTTTTGCTTTGCTGCTGCTTATTAATGTCATTATTTATCTTCACTCATTCTTTACAGGGCCATTTCCACACACAGACAACCCGTGCTGACCGCATATGTCACCATAATTCAGTTACATGTGCAAGTTATTTGGGTATCTCACCTGAGAGCCCGTTGGCAATGTTTGTATTGTACACATAGGTGAGTGAGGCAGGCCCTGAACCAATTGGAGCTTCAATCTGATAAATGGAAATTAGTTCACACACCAAGTAGTTACACTGTACTCCCAGTTTTAGGAGATCAGACATGAACTACATCCCAGGTACCATGTGGAAAAAAAAAGGAAGAAGAAAGAAGATTTCCAGAATAGGAAGTCATTTTATCCCTGAAGGACAAATTGGATTACTTGTAAACATTTATTACCTAACTTTTATTGTTAATATTTGAACAATACAGCAAATCATAAGTCACAGTGAGACCTATATACATAAACCTTTATACTCAACTATTATAAATGTTTTGCCTTATTGTCTTCAAAGAATTGGATTTAGATGATGAAAATAATGGAGTGGACATTCCAGTTCTAGTTAAAATAAGTTTCATAAGGAAAGCCACTAAGGTGAGGTCATTCAGGTGTGTTAATACACAAGATATTTAGGAAGACAGCAGACAAAGACAGAAATCCATGTCATGGTGGGTGGTATCCAGGTCTTGTGAACTCCAGGCTTAAGAGGCATGAATATAAGGGGATGCTGAGTGTTACTGTTTACAGCTGGCTGTCCACCCCAACTCTCATGCCCTTAAAGGTGGGCTTGGAAGATGACCGGACCATGGGGCATGATAGCTGGCTTGCTGTTCAGAGGTGGCTTGTGGTCAGAAGTGGCAGGTCAACGGGGTCTTCACCTGGCAGGGTCTCTCTTCCTTCCTGGTTCCTCCCTTTTTTCTCTGCTTTCTGGTTGCCATGAAGAGGACAGGAAGGGACACTAGAGAAAGGGGAGAGGAAAAGGAAGAAAGGGAAAAGGGGAAGATGAGAAAAGAAAGATAATATAGAAGCAAACATTCTGCAAATAAAGAGGGCAAAAAGGGTTGAAGGAAGAGGAGGGGAATGGGAAAAAAACAAGAATTAAGATATATCATGTACAGGTACAAATTCCATATGATGTATGTGATCATTATGTATATCTGAATTGTACCAATAAAACATTTTTTAAAAAGAAAAAGGCAGTGAACATTTTAAGGCAAAGAGCCTAGTGTTATAATTCTTAGATTATTATAATCATATAAGTGCTGCTATCACTAAATGATTAGGTTGATAACTGGAAAATCCTCAGTGAAAAGAAATATGTCTGGGATTGGTCATTAGTTTTATGTGGAGCTTCTGCCTTGGTTGTCAAATGACTATGTTTGCTTTCTGAGAAGATTAAAAGGATTTTAGAAATATTGTATCTCTTTGGAATAAACTGTAAAGCATCCTTTCTGTACGTACAGGGCTTCCATTTGTGTCAAAGTACTTCTTAAATAATTAACAAATGTATAATGTCCATTAAATCACTAACGGGTAATTGAGGTAGACTGAATATTGGAAGAATTTTCAAGGGGAGGAAGGAGAGCAAAGGAAGAAAAGAAGAAAGGGAAGTGGGTTGTGAAGACATGTTCCCAACACACCAGGACATAAGGATTGGCTCTATTTTGGAGGTAACAGAGAGATGTAATTAGACATTACTTTGAATCATTTTGATTATTGATGACTTGACTATTAGAACGTATTCTGATTACTGTGTTTCTCTTCCATTGCTGGGGCAAATATCTGACACCCACCACTCAAGGAGGAAAGGTTTCTTCTGCTTTCAGAAACTTCAGTCCATGATCAGCTGGGTGAGAGGCAGAAAGTAATGGCAGAAAGGCCTGGTGGAGCAAATCCGCTCAGCTCACGGCAGCCTGAAGCAGAGTTGGGAGCGAGGCCAGAGCGGAAGGGGCCCGGGCCAGCGGGGTGCCCGAGCTTAGGGCTGGGAATCCGGACTAATCCCCAGGAGGCTCCACCCAACCAAGCTGACACCCTTGACTGCACAACTGCTATCCTATTGTTTTTTTTAATGTGCTCATGACAGTTTGGGGACTGCATTCTCTTTACGCTGCATGGTTGTTATAACATGGGAAGGTACTTAATTCCCATTTCCTAATAAAAGCAGGCTAAGGATACACATAAAAGGATGCGGGCCAGAGGTGGAGCTCAGTGGCGCCACGCCTGCCTGGCAAGCACAAGGTCCTGAGTTCAATCCCTGGTTCTGCAAAAAAAAGATGACTGGTCCTGGTTGTCTCAGATGTGCACCTGAAGGACTGTACAGAGCCCACTACTGAGGTACGTGCTGGGCACATCCCTGGCTGGAAAGCAGGACTGAGCAGAAAATATTGTCATGGTAACTTGGTAATGAGCCTCAAACCACCAGATCTATTTTCTGTGTGAACTCTTAGTGTGCTTTGGGAGAGGAAAAGTAAAAGTGCCTATGACCCTAGATGAATATGTGGAGGGCATAGCAAGAATGGGCCTAATTCTGTTGCTCTGAAATAAGATGTAAATTTCTAGAGGCAGAAAGCAGTCCTAGCTCGTTAATCGCTGATCTTGGTACAGAATTTACCACACAGAATACACTCAGCTTTTATCTAGTGAGAAAAAGTGCAAACATGAATATAAATAACTACCTTGCATTATGACAGAAGAACATCTCTCTCTTGGTTACATATTTGGACAGAAAAGAAAGAGTTTGAGATGACATACAGTCACATAGGCGACGCCTGTTCATGTGTGTCCTTCATACGTTCACAGGCAGGTTAATGGAAGACCACCACGGGGAAGTGAAGTTGACATGTACTACACTCTTTGCGGTGTCTGAATATAGCCCTGAACACTAGGAAACTTTCTGTTTAATACTCACATATTTCCATGAGTTAACATTTCTACACACATTATATCATCAGGAAACAGATGGAAGGCAATGTCACATATTTAGTGGCAGAGCAAAATTTGAAGCCATGCATAGTTTTCAGACACTACACTTCCTTTTTTTTTGCTTAAATTCTTTTATTGGTACATTTTAGGTGTACAATACGTTTACATTTATCACTGGGTGCTTGTACCTGTACATGATGAATCTTGGTTCTTATTTTTCCCCCATTCCCTGTCCTCCCTTCACCCCCTCCACCCTTCCCTATTTACATCGTTCTCATCCTTATTTACACTTTCAGTTTCTCACACTAGAGAAACTATTCGTTATTTACACATATGTGTCCTATTTATTTCACTTAAGAGTATGGCCTCAATGTGCATCCACTTAGCTATAGATGTAGTTTACACTTCTTTAAAATTTTGTTTTATGAGTCCATGTTTGCAGTAATAGTGTGTACATTCCTTGTGTGGAGTGGGTACATGTACAGAACACATCTTTTTGTTTTTTGTTTGTTTGTTAAGACAGGGTCTCCCTATATAGTTCAGGCTGGCCTTGAACTAACTATGTAGCCCAGACTGGCCTTAAACTCATGGTGATCCTCCTGCTTCAGCCTCCCAAGTGCTAGGATCACAGGTGTGTGCCACCGTGCCTGGTCGAACACATTCTAATTCCTTTTTTCATCCCCTTTCCCTCCCGTCACCCCTCCCTCCATGTTCTGGTCCTCTTCCCCTTTGAGAAAGATCTGTCTCCCTACTTCCTAATAGCTATCTTTTATTTTGTCCTTTATTTATAATTTGGGTTTCTCCTATAGGGAAATCATGAGATATTTAAGCTTATTTTTTATTAGTAATACATATTATTCATCAGAATACTGAAGTGTGCTTCAGTATATTGGTCTACCTTCTCTAGTTTCCTGTTATCCTTTTTCTTTTATTTGTTTATTAATTCGTTATTTTTTAGATCTCTCATATGGGGAAAAGCGTGCTATGTAACATCACATAGTCTCCTATCTTCTGCAGACAGTGACAGTGTCCCATGGCTCACCTTGTCTGGCCCTGTCTCCCTGGAGATGAGGTCAGCAGGCTCCACAGGGTGAAGGCGCGGCATCCCCCATCAGAGGACCCCATTGTGTGCTGGGCGGTCCTGGTCCACAGCACACTTTCTACATTCTTGGCTTATCACAAAGGAGACCGGAAATTAACCCTGAACTGCCAGATAGAGATGCGCAGGACAAGGTCCAGAAGGGTCCAGAGCACAGGGGCTCTGTGTGCCCCCAGTTTGGGTGCCTACCTGCCTTGTTCACCAGCTCCAACCTTTTGGGCTCTGTGGAGGGTTCACTGTGTAGCCCTGACGGGCACGGCATTGAACTGATGACGAAGGCTCTGTCCTGTCCTGCGCCCTGCTAGGCACGCTTTTGGTTTCTTTGGCAACCAGACCCGTTCTTTGGTTACTTGGGTTTCCAAAATCATCTCGCTGAGGTACACTCAGATGGGATTGTAAGGGGTTCATTATGCATAACAACAATGCTATCCTTCTCTTTGATACCCAAAACTCTGGGAAAATTCCAGGAGCTTTAGGAGCTATGTGCCTGAGTGAGAGAAAGACCAAACATGTATTCACAATTGTGTGTCTTAGCGTCATGGCGTCTCCCAAGGCTGTCCTTTACGTGCCTCTGCTCCAGCCCCCAGGATGTCACAGAGAGGGGACGTTCTGCCTGATATGAAGGTGGTCAAGCGAGCTGTGCACTACACTGTGGCAGAGACTGAAAGCTAGTAGGTTAATACTACCTGGACTATGACTGTGGACCCTGCTGACTGTTGCTTTTCTCACATTCAAATTAATTAAGCCCGAATATCATGCTAACCGCCACACACATATACTTAAATCTTTGAAGAAAGCATGAATCCCCAGTTTCGGGAATCACAAATTTCAGGGGTATTCACTTGGTTTGGGTTTTTGATTTTTTTTTCTTATCTCCCTTAATGGCTGTTACTTCACAAATCAAGGAGCCAGTATGAGGGTTTTGCCAGCTGAAAATGTACCCACTCCATGCTGGCACTTGGAGATCCAGGAAAGAGGACCCGAGTGGGCTTCTGAATTTGGGCCTTAGAATGTTTTTATCGCCTGGCCCAGGTAACCTGCTCTCTGACCAGGAGGCTGGCTCACGTACACATGTCCTGCTAACAATGTCCAGTTCTATCTTGAGGCACTGAAAAGGAATGGCATGGCCCCTCCTCTTTGGGCAGGCATTCAGGAATGAGGCTTGAGGTCACCTTGGGGAAAGGCTGATGGTGTATTTCAAGATATGTGCTCTCAGAAGTCTCCTTTACACACCATCATCCCTGAGAAAGCCAGGTCACCACATCTATCACAGAAGGAAAGCGAAAGGTCTCAAGGTAGGGGTATCAAAAACACTGTGGCTAGATTTTAAACCAATACGTTGTCTGACTGTAGAAAGACAATGTCTACCATAGACTTCTGTGTTGTTTTAGGAAACATAACAACAGCACTCTTTTATGTGTACTTTTCATCTGTCCTATTACTTTGTTTTATTTCTTTTGGAATTAATGAGAAAAACACAAAGTGAACTTTGGACCTGAATTATCCTTAACGTATTTTTGACCAGATGTTGTATATTTTGCATGTTAAGGACACATTATTTCCAGCAGAGTTAGCAGATTATTTCATGTGAGGTTATCTATACTAAGCATAGATATCCTATTAGCCAAGTCAGTGTTAAATTCTGGCTTTGAGGTGTTTTGTTGCTATTGTTTATTTTCACATTTGCCGAATCATGATCTGTTTAGCTCACTAAACAGAATCACCAAGCAGTGGGCCCAGCTATCTATATTTTTAGAAAACCCTGCAGCTGGTTTTTGCTCTACTTTGTTGAAAATAGCTCGAGTCTCTTTGTTTTGGTCATTTCTTTCAAAGGTTTTCTCTGATTATGTTTTCCTGGTTCATTAATACAATAGTTATGAAACATGCATTGAGATGATGGTATAGGCCTAAGAAATTAATATTAATTTCAGTTTAAGTAATTGTTCCTCATATTACATAATTTTAATCTTTCCAAGACTCTGTCCTCTACACAGTAAGTCCATCAGTTCCGGGCACTGGAGAAGTTACATAATGGACTTTTTTTTCCTGAATTCTCTTCTTAGAATTAAAGTCCAGATGGGAAAGGCAATAAATCTTATTGAGGGTTTGAAACATATCAATCCTCTGTGACTTTAAAGTTTGGTTCTTTAGGTCTGAGCTCCTGGTTCTTTGCATACCTATAAATAGTAGAGGGCACTGAGAGAAGTATAGGAGCTTGACTGTATGTCTGTTGACATCTGGAGAGTCATTTTACAGTTTTTTAAAAGTTGTTCAAATTTATTTAATCATTATGATCTTAGAGTAGGAACTTTGCAAATGCTTCATGTGCTCCGTGTGAAGCCAACTGGAATACATTCATATTTTCATTCAGTATCATTCAATACTTTTAGCATCCTGGGTTTTATTTTACTTATTGTTTAATTCTTAGTAATATTTGTAAGTGTTTAATACATTGGATAGTAGAATAAAATAAAAATAAAAAGGTAAGACAGTATGGAAGCTCAGAGAGGAAAAGCACCACCTGCCGAGCCCTGCCAAGCCCAGTCCTGTTCCCTTAGATAATTGCTTGTAAATATTTCTAGTTTTATTGCTTTTCCTGTTTTGTTTTGGTTTTATTTTCCCTTTCTCTTGCAGCCCTGAGGATGAATCCTAGGGCCTCAAGCATGCTAGGAAAGTGCTATACTGTGCAGCCAACCCTAAATATCCCAGCCCTAAATATATTTTTTACTTTCCCTCTTCCACAGTTATATGTGTAGTAAGCCTAAGGGCTTACTTACCTCAAGGTGTGGAATCCGGAGCTAAATCGTTAAGTTCAAATTCTGGTTTTAGCTTCCGTTAGTTTTACCACTTTGAAGATAATCTGGGTCTCCATTTCCTCACCTGTGAAACAGAAATGAAAGGAGCAATTTTAAGGGTTGTTGCAGATTGAAACATTTTGAAATAATGTGACATGTACAATAGATATGAAGTATCCTTAGGACCTAATTAAATCACAAAACGTATATGTTTTTTATCATGAATTTACCATAAATACATTTCGTGAATCATCAATTTAGATTATTTTCCCTTGATGAGATACAGGTTTAACTCACATAATGAAGCTTGCCCGGCTGCTACCAGCACTCATATTTGTGTATAATTCAGGCCATGCTTTACCTTTCTACTTCATATCTCTTTAATTTCCTACTCCTTTACACCTTCCTCCCATTTCACCTTCCATCCGACTCTCCTCCTTTCTCCACATTCCTAGGATGCTGGCGTTTCTCTAATGGGTCATACCTTTCCCAGCCTTTGAGCCTTAGTGTCCTTAGCATCCTTTGCCTTGCTGTGTCCTCTATTTGGAATGGTCTCTGTAAGATTATTGTGTATCTATGTATATGCACATTACATATGTGTGCATTCTGATTTTTTATTTCCATGGTTACTAGATCCCCACTCCCTTCCCAAGGCAGGCTGGCCATAGAAGCTAGAATTTCTCTTCCCAACCCTAGTTTTAAGTTGACTCACCTTGACTTACCATGTCTGTTGGTAGATGATAAGACCTTATTTCAGACAGGGTCTTCACCGTATCCGCAAAGAAGAAACGCTGGAGAGTGACTTCTCCCAGTCCACTAGTATTAGTCTAGTGCCTGCCCTGCAGTCACACTGCTACATAATCGTCCCCTCTTCACTCACATCTGTGGTATGCAGCCCCACGCAAACAAACGTGCAAGTTGAGCGAGCTTCCATGTAGCAGATAGCAGAGGTCCCTGGGGGGGTGGCCCTGAACGAGGCCTGGGAGAAGCTACAGGCGGCTTCTCCCCGCCCTGTGCCTCCCTCTTCCCGCCTCGGTCTCCACCCATGTCCTTCAGAGCCAGCAGCACGGGTATGTACGTGTACGGAGCATTTTAAGCTCCATGCGCGGCTCGGGCAAGGGAGGAGGAGGCAGAGGGACATTGTTTTAGAGCTGGTCTGGGTGAAGCAGAGATAAAATAAGCTAGGGCTGGTGTTTGGCATGGAAAGTGTGTGGAGGGGTGGACGGCCGTAGGGACTGAGCTCCACCTTGTGGGATCTGTCACATCTCCTCTCCGGGTAGGCAGGGTAGAAGAGAATTAAATTGTGGTGTGCTGCAGAATCCTTACTCAGTTCGTACGTGGAGAAAAACCTCACACACTTGGCATCAGGAGTGGTGCATGTTGTGTGCGGACAGCAGCAGAAGCTGCATTGGGGCTGATAGCCCCAAAATATGCTCAGTTTCTGGTTGATCTCAAGACTTAAGTATCGGAATGATTTATTTTGCATTTTTAAAATACTCTTGTAGGGCCGGGGATTTAGCTCAGTGGTTCCGTCGCCTGCCTCACAAGTGCAAGGTCCCGAGTTCCATCCCCGGTACCAAAAAAGAAAAAATACTCTTGAAAAGCCATTGTCTGTGCTTTATAATATTGTTTCCTAATGTTTCAGATAAAATACTTCTGTTCATCTTTGAACTAACCCACGGTACCTTCAGTGATGGTCGTCACTGGGGCATTTCTTCCCATACACCCTCTGTGTGTCAGTTCTTTGTTTCAGCCAGGGTCCTTACTTCTATGCACCCTTCTGTTCTGCCAGCCCGCTGTGTTCTTTTCTAGGACTGATGTTTTTTGAGTTATTCTAAAATCTTCAAATTTCATTTTGTGTTGAACTCAAAGGTGGGAAAATAAATGTGGTCAAAGGTGGTCTGTAAGGATCCTTTTATAAGGCTTTGATTTCCCACTCACTGATATTTCAGTATAACAAACCCTGGTCATAGGCACCCGTGTTCAGATGTGCCAGTGCACCTAATGATCGCGGGTCTGTGCTTTGTTTTAAAATAAAAGGCCCAACAGTATATTGTGTTCTTGGAAAGGGCGGAGAAGGGTGGTTGCTGTGTTCGTGGCCTGAGCTTTCAGCTGCAGGGGATGCGAGTGCGTCGCTGAGCTGGCTGACCCCTGCACAGCGCCCATGGACGTCAGAACATCCTGCTCTCCGTGGCAAACACACTTTTGCAGTCAACTTAAAAACAAAGGTCAGGCCGAGCCAAGGGTACGACACCAGAAGATGCTAGCAAAGATAGACGTGAGGATTTGTTCTTTGTAGGCAGAAAGCAAGACAGGAGAGCACGCACTGGGCAGGAGCACTGGGTGGCCCAACAGAGAAGGCAGAGAGGTGGGGAAAGTGAAGGAGGAAGCTGGGTCTTTAAAATATGAAGCGGGGCAGGGGGTGGGGGGAGAAGGCCACAGACCCTGAGCAGTCTCTTCTGAGTCCCGGGCTCATGATGGCACTGAAGCTCTTTAAGGCCAGGTCTCCGCGGTGCAGAGTGGCTCAGTGCTGATTCTTGTCCTGTTCGGGTTCAGAGCCCCAGTGACATCGCCGGCCAGGAGCCCCTGCTGCCTCACCGCCCTGCACTGGGGAAGCTCCCTGTCTGAACCTTGGCAGTCCTCCTCCTTCCTCACTGTGGTGTCCACTTTCTCTTTCTTTTATTTATTTTCATTCTTTTTTATTTTTGAGCAACGTCTCACCGTGTAGCCCAGGCTGGCTTCAAACTCGCTTCACTCCTCCTGCCTCGGCCTCCCCAGTGCTAGGGTTACAGGTGTGGGCCATCATGCTTGGCTCTCTTTCTTTTAAAAAAAAAGTGCCTGTTTTTATTTGACACATGAAAATGCAGGTATTTGAGGAGATTTCAGTACACGTGGTGTACAACATGTGGACCTCAGAAGGAGGTCACTGGCGTGTCTATCACTCAGACCCCGAAAAGCCCCCTGGGAGCTGTTCTGTAGCGCACAAGAAAACGTTGCAGGCACAGCCGTCCTCTGTGCTGCAGACACGGGGACTTACTTCCTCTGTCTGCTTCACGGACCTGGGAGCCAGCCTCTCTGTCCCGGGGATGTTTTCTTCCCAAAGCCACAGTGCTCCCCTATCTTGGTTTTACTCCCGTTCTGGTCCTGTTCCCTCCCTGCTGCAGACCAATTCTTACATGCACTGTGCCCTCGCAATCCCCCTCAGGAAGCCAATTCTGGATCTGTGCTGGCTGCCATCGCTGAGGCCTTGTAAGGGCTTGTGAGGCTGAGGCAGGAAGATTGCAAGCTCCAGACCAGCTAGGTGATTTACTGAGACTCTGAGTCTAAACTTTGGAAAAAGAGCTGGGGAAGTAGCAGACCTAGGGCCCTGCCTTTGGGTGTTGGACCAGATTCCACCCTCTGGGCAGCTGGAGAGGGGGCTGCTGTCACATGCTCTCCTTGCCTTGCCAGAGCCTTTGGCGGCATCGAGGGTCTCTTAGCCGTCTAGCTCACAGGGCCTACGGTTGTGCTGATAAACCAACCCTACTGTGGCCTGACCTGCTCTGCCCCTGCCTGCGAGTCCCTGCCGCCCTTTAACTCCCCTTCCTTCTATAGACGTCGCTTCACCAGAGGACTTTTGTCACCCACTGTCTCAGTGTATCCTCCCTATAATCCAGAATCTGTGTCCTTCATGCCCAGCCTCGAGAATACTCACCTTTCTCACTTCTCCCCGAGAGCACTGCTTCTGCACTGAGTGTTTTTCACGAAAATAGTGAGAGTAGCCAGCATCCAGCCAGGACTTGTACCAAGAAAATGAAACGCTCTTGGTGCATATTTGGAAGAGGGACAGAGGAGATAGAGACACAAAGACAAGTTTATATCTCATCAAACTCTTGCCATACAGCTTGGAGCGTGGGTGGGCAGGAAAAGGAGGGAATGAGGGTCTTATGCTCTGAGCTGGTTTGAGGTGAGGCCTGGCATGTGTTCAGGTCCTTGGGTCTGACGGGACAGGGCAGAGAGCTCTAAGTCTGTCCCATGACTGCCTCTGAGGACAGATACCAGTCATCCAGCCAGGGCAAGTTACTAGGGGTTGTACTCTGTCTGGCTTGAAAGGTGAAGTCGATTGCTCACAGGAGAAGAATACAGAGTTTAGTAGACACATCAAGCAAACATCCAAATGTTGTCTGAGGGCTACAGCTGCATGGATCAAGAAAACTCCAGTAATGTGGCATAGAAGGAAAGGCTGGATCAAATGCACTTCACAATTTTTCCCAGTAATACTGAGGCAGACAACAATCCTGGATTTTATTAAGGAAAAGAAAGCCCAAGCAGAGCAGAGCCTACTGTGGACTTATGTCTTGCTTTCATGGGGTTCAGAAAAGCAAGTGGGTCCGTGTGGTTGGACCGCAGGCCCCTGGCACAGGTGTACCCTGTCTGCTCTTGAAACAGAGGGCATGGGCTCTACTTTCTGAGGAGCCCATGGTTGCCTGCCCTCCCACAATCAGCAGGGGGTGGCCGTGTTGATCGAGTGAATAACTGAAATAGAAACGCTCAGTACTGGTGATATTTTTATTTTATTGTAATTATTTTATGGAAAGTAAAGTGATGGGTATTGTATTCATGTTCACTGTAATAAATGCCCTGAGATAATCAGTTGATAAAGAGGAAAGGTTTATTTAGTCTCATGGTTTCAGAGATTTAGTCCACTGTTTGGTTCTGTTGCTTTTAGGTTCATTCCAAGTGGGGGTGTGTGGTGAGAGAGGGTTCTTCACCTCCCAGTGGGTAGGGCAGGAGACAGAGAGAGAGAGAGGTCCAGGCGTCCCAGTGCCCCTCGAAGGCCGCCCCTTTGACCTGACTCCCTTCCCCCTCCTGTGGGCTCCACCGTCTCTCAGTGATGCCATGGTTTAGGACCAAGTTCTCCACGCGTGGCCTTGGGGCACTCTCACCTCCCAGCCCTGGCAGGTGCCAATTTCCCGTGTGCTGCATGGACTTTGAGCGCCTGGACGGGCAGCCCGGAGGCCGAGGGAGAGCTCCGAGGTGGTACCCAGGTCCAGGTTGCCTCCACATGTGGGTGTAACGCTGCCCTCACAATTGCCACAGGAAACAGTTGTGAAGCAGAGGAGCACTGACTGGGTTAGGTTAGACGCTGCGAACGAGGCGGTCTGTGTACGCCCTTCAATCCGGACAGATAATCAACATTCTCCTTCCGGCAAGCAGCTGCTCCGGCTCAGAGAGGAGGAAGTAGGGCCAGGCACCTCCATTCCCTGAGGGATGATTTCGGGGCAGAAGCTCATCTCTAGAAGGGTTTGTAACCCAAAAGCAGGGTGGTAAGTTAAGAGCCGCTCACACATTCAAGGAGTTCACAGGCACAGCGTCTAGTGCACTTCCTCTTGTAAGCATTAGGGCTTGGAGGTTTGAAACAGACGCTGCTCCGTGGCCCCGTGGGATGGCCACACGACCCACCTCCTTCACGAGCTCGCTCTGGGCTTTGTCTACTTTTAGGCTGCAGTTCGGGGTGACGTTTTGACTTTTCAGGTAAGAATTTTTTTTCAGTGTTCACTTTTTATGAGTCCATGTTTGCAGAAAACACCCACCACGTTCCTCACGGGCTTGCCACGTGGACAGGACACCTCTCAGTTCTTTTCTAACCTCTTCACCCCAGCCCCTTCCATCTTTTCCCATTTGAGAAAGATCTTTCTCCCTATCTCCCGTCATCTTTTATTTTGCTCTTGATTTATACTTTAGGTTTCTCATATAAGAGAACCATGCAATATTTAAGCTTCTGTGTCTCATATTTTACTTAACATTATGATCTCAAGATGCATCCATTTTCCTACAAATAACTTAAGTTTATCCTTATTTATGGCAGAGTCGTGTTCCACTGTGTGTAAATTACCATATTTTCTTTATCCATTTAATTGTGGGTGTACACATAGGCTGCTTCCAAGATATAGCTATTATGAATAGTGTGGTGGTTTTTTTTGGAACCGGGGATCGAACTCAGGACCTTGCACTTGTGAGGCAGGCACTGGAATCACTGAACTAAATCCCCGGCCTGGTGTGTCTTTTTGAT